ACGATTTTACTTTAGAATAAAGCTACTTGAAAGACAGAATAATGTCAAGCTCATATATGACATTGTACTACAACTCAAGAATATCACTATAGAAGAGATCGAAAATATATTGTAAGAGTTAAACTAAAAGATAGAAGATATTGTACTATGGTTCAAAGTTACACATCACAACTGAAATTTGTGATTAGGTTGTTTTCACTGTTACATGCTAGACGACTTTGCATAATATGCGCGTGTTATGTACATTTTACGAATTTTCTAATATAGAAACTAGGGGTGTAAACGGATAATATCCGTTTCAGATGTATTATAACCGTATCCGAATCCGATTAGCAAAACCGTTATCCGAATCTGAATCCGTATCCGACGAATGTCTACGATATTAAATCCGAATCCGAATCCGGAAGATACGGATGCATCCAACTAGTAAAAAATCTGAATCTAAATCCGTTTCTAGATTCGATAAAACATCCGATTTGCAAGGAAAAACTGTATTTGTATCCGAAAAATCAAATGAACAGTTCGAGTAAAACAACAATGGCGATTTCATAGTGGCGCTGATTCTAAAATCAAATGAACCATTCGAGTACAACAACAGTGGCGATTTATTTTTCTTAGGGGCGATTTCATAGTGGCGATTTTTAGAGAGGGGTTGATTCTAAAATAAAAGGAAAAAATAAAAGCATAATTGAGAGTTTGTACCTAAAATCAAACAAGAGAGTAGATGATGATGCTAAGGATTGAGGTGTTGAGCTGAAGCCGCAGACTCGCTGAAATGGTCGCTGGATTCGGAAAATAGCTGAGGAAGACGCCGCTAGGTCAGTTGGTCACTCTTTCGCTGGATGCTGCTTCCGGAAAAAAAACGTGCTCCGTATTAGGTATGTATTTAGGTATAATCAATACTCAAGTCTCAATAGTGATTTTGGGTCATTTAGGCTTAGTGGGCTGAGAAGAAATTAGAATACTAGGAGTATACATAAAAATAGTAATTAGTCTAAACTACGGATATTTTTTTTACTACGGATAAATTTTTATTACCTATATTTGGTATAACGGATCGGATAATCAGATATGCGGATATATAATTGGATGTATACACGGATCGGATTTTAAACGGATCGGATCTGTAATTACCCAATCCGCATCCGTTTATCAATCAGATGTGCTTAATCGGATACGGATAATATCCGTTTAAAGCGGATGCGGATTTTTTCCATTTAAACGAATACGGATGCGGACGGTAATCGAATTTTCGATTATCCATTTACACCCCTAATAGAAACTAATTACGCTGTAGTTGTTTGATCACAGGGACTATTTGAAAACTTTTAAAAGTTTGAGGACTATTTACCACTTATGAAACACCAGAGGGACTTTATATGCATATAACTCTTTTGACTTTTAACCACCCATGAATTGCAGGTTTGCACACCGGAAGCACCAAGGCTGCATTTAGGGTTCCATCACTGGGAAAAGCTCATGGCGGATGTACAGTGTGGCGAGGGAGATGTCAATGCAATAGCCACGGTGGCTATTTGGTGGCAGTGGTGGCGATGATATATGTCACTGCGGCTGTAACGCCCCAAAACATACCCTAGAATTATTAATGAATAAATAATCAATTAATCAAATTTGTTTTGATTAAAATAAATTATTGTTGGGCTTTGGGCCGATATGAAATGTGTTTTGACATCCAATATCAAAATCTGGATAAGTCTCATAGAAATAAATCTAGTATGTGGACTACTTGTGTGGTCTTGATTGGGAATTTGAGTACAGACTCAAATCAAGAGTAAATAAAGAATTTGTTTAGAATGTCCACCGGTACCCACCTACCACCGGGACAGTAGGGAGCTACCGTCGCCACCAAGCTCCTCTGACGGTACCTGTCCACCGGCGGTACCCCCCTACCGCCGGCACGGTACCGAGGTACCGTTAGCCGGTATTGAGGTACCGTGAAGGTACCGTCTGATCCAATTAATTTCCAAAAAATCCGATTTTTGAACCATTAAATCCTATATTTGACACTAATCAATTATGATCAATATGAATAATAAATTCTGAAAATAGAAATGATGTTTTGACAATTAAAGACCTTACGTGATGCGTGACGGTAAGCTAGGGTGTTAACACTCGAAGTTAGACCGCTAATTGCTATTGCTTTGAATGTTATGATTATGATGCATGATTATTATGGATTAATGATGATGATTATTCTGAATAAAATAATGATTATAAAGTATTGAACTAAAATCAAAATAAATGGGTTGATAAAAATGAGTGGTATTGTTAAAGCTATCTAGAAGACCTCTAAGATAGACCTCCGATTAGAATGGGCCTTGCGGGTATAAACATGTATATTCGGTGGCCTTGGGTAAAAACTTACGTACGGGATCCATAACCAAACTAGAGGAACTCGTTTGGGAATACCACCCAACCCGACAGTTAGTATTTTACTGTTCGGTTTTCTAGATTTGTACCTTAAGCGAAGACTAGTTTAAGAGTTGGTAAATTAATCGGAATATATGTACCTTAAACTAATGACCTAGCTTAAGAGTTGGATAGAAGTACCTTGTACTATAACTAGTTTAAGAGTTGGTAAACATAAAAAAGATTGGCCTCAGACTAAGTATAGTTTAAGGATATTGTTGAGTATTGAATATTGAATATGAATGTTGAATATTGAGATATTGAAATAAAAATATTGAGAATATCATGAATTATATATTGTGTGCATGATATCAAATGGTTGTTTGTGAATTGAGATTCAATTTATGTGGATGTTCGACGCTTTAGATAGCTTACTCAGCTTCACCGCTGAGCGTGTAGTGTGTTTTATTTGCTACACGCAGGTAGGCAGAATGAGTTATTGGCATGTTCCTGGCAGCAGAAGGGGCGAGGCGATCGTGGTGGATTTATGATTTAAAATGAATAAATTAAATTGTTATGAGACATGATTTAAATTGCTTCCGCATTATGGTTAAAAACTCCGTAATTTATTACTATTATGTATGAAATATTATTTTATGATAAATAAAGATGTTGAAATGTTTTAAATTATCACGATTACCAAATCAATACTTTAGTCCGAAAGAGGCTGCAGACCTGGACGGATTAGTAGGGGTGGGCAAAAAAACCGAACTAGCATGGTACCGTACCGGACCGTAATGGTAACGAACTGTTTATATTGTTTTCAAACGGGATTGATTTTTTTCATCACGAACCGAAACCGAACCGATACCAAATGGGACGGGACCGTGATACAAACACTTAAACTGATTATCACGGACCGAACCGCCAACGCTATATACGGAGTACATATCTCAAAGAATTATGGAGTATATGTCTACTTTATCTTACCGCGTATAGAGTACTTTGTATTTTATTATTCATTTTAAAACTCTCTCATTATTATTGTTGTTATTATATTTATCATTACTATTGACATTATTTTTTTTATAGTTATTAGTATTCCGATATTATATGAATTGGAAAAAAAATTATTTTTTAACATTGGACTCGTTATCTTTTATTTCTTTATGTTTATGATTGGTTTAAATTTGAGATCAATACTTTTATTTAAAATTCTTGTGCTTTTTTATACATATTTATAGATTAAATTCAATATTCTTTAAGTAATGTACGTTCATGTGGCTTTATCCCCTTCATTGGGGTACGTAAGCAACTTAGAATATTTTATTTTTCTAAGTGCAGTCACAATAATAAAATTATTTTTTATTGTTCCAACATTTTTCTCCTTCCTCCAGGTAAATTACGATGATACCCTATAATTTAGGAGTCATGCTAGAATAACTCAATAACATCAACTTAGACAACATGTATGACGACCATCTCTCGATTTAGAGCACTAGAAATAGTCTTGAAGCCCTGAGGCTTCAAACTTGCTCTCTCTGGTACATCAGCTTTAATTTACTTCACCAATTCACTGGAAATAAGTTTGAAGCCACATGGCTTCAAACTAGGGTTTGGGGTTTCAAACTTAATAAAATTTAATTATTTAATTTTATTTATTAAAAAAATTACATTCATGGACAACAAATACATTCATTAATTTTAAAAAATTGCATTCGTTCATTAAAAAAATTGCATTCATTAATTAAAAAATTACATTCATTAAATAAAAAAATTACATTCATTAATGAAAAAATTATATTCATTAAATAAAAGGGAGATGGACAAAAATAGAAGTAAAAGAGATGTCATATGCCAAAATAGGAGTTAAAACTTAAACTCCCCTAAATAGAAGTAATTAACTTAACAAGACCTGCCCCAGTATGTGCCAAGAATATCATATCTTCTCTTCAAACGCCTTCCATTAGCCATCTGAACAAAAAAATCCAGATTTTTTTTATTAAATAAATTATTTAGTCTTCATATTTTAGCCCAATTTCTTGGTCTGAACCAAAATCCACCCAGAATTTTTAAAACCATTTATTTTGATTTTTTTATTTCATAGCAAAGAATAATAAAGCTGCTTCCTTTATTGTTCCTCCTCCCTCATCGTCACTACAGTAAAGAATACTCTTTATACAAAGTGTCATCGAAGCCATAATAATACCAACAATCACAATCCATAATGCCAACCATAATACTGAATAAGTACAAATATATTACTGTATAAGGTTTAAAAAAAAGCAAAGTGCCAAACATGACACTGACTAAGCACAAATATGCCAGTGTAGAATTGTAGAATGTCAAATATATGAAGAGGCCTTTTATTTTTGAACGGTTGAACACACAAAGTTCACACACAATTATACTCCCGGGGGTATCATATGTGAAAAGATTATGGACAATTGTAACGTGCACAAGGATGAACCTCATCCGGTCGGTCCCTCCGGCGGAGTGTCATATATGAAGAGGCCTTTTATTTTAATTTATTTTTGTTTAAGGACAACCTATTTCAATACGGAATTACCAAATATGAAAGTATACTAGTCACAGTTGTTGACTTTGATAGACTCCATATACCATATAAGGATTGACTGCATTCAAGATCTTAGCTAAGTAGAGAGAGTGTGTGTGTAACTGTGTATTCATGGCGGAAAACAAACCAACCGGCCGTCGTTTCCGTGTTCTGATGCTTCCATGGTTAGCTCATGGCCATGTCGTCCCCTACCTCGAGCTAGCAAAAGAGCTCCACCACCGCAACTTCGTCGTCCATTTCTCTTCCACCCCGGCGGTTCTCGCTTCTCTCCAATCCGCGCCGCCCAACTCATCTCCCTTCCTCTCCCAAATCCACACCGTCCCAATCCACCTCCCCGCCGCCGCCGACCTCCCTCCCTCCCGGCACACCACCAAAGATCTCCCCCGCCACCAGATCTTCGCCCTCTGCAAGGCCTTCAGAATGTCCGCCCCTGCCTTCTCCCTTATCCTGGAAGAAATCGAACCCGACCTGGTCGTCTATGACCTCTTCCAGCCATGGGCGGCGGAGGCCGCCGCGTCGCGTGGAATCCCCGCCGTGTGCTTCTGCATCACCGGGGCAGCCTCCATTGCCTTCACCCACCACCTGCTCCTCCGCGGATCGACGGCCGGATTCCCCTTTCCGGCGGCCTCCATGAGGCCGAACGAGCTAAGGACACTCAGGGAGAACACGGCAAGCATTGACCCGGAAGACAGGGTCGCAATTCTCAAGTCATTGGAGCTGTCAAACGACGTCGTTTTGATCAACACCAGCCGCGAAATCGAGGGGAAGTACATCGACCACCTCTCCGCCGTCCTCGGCAAATCCGCCGTTCCCACCGGCTCACTCGTCCGGGTCCCGGGGGGAAGCGGAGCTGCAGAGAAAGCCGAGGATCACGAAATCCTCCGGTTTCTCGACGGAAAGCAAAGGCAATCAACGGTATACATCTCATTCGGGAGCGAATACTACCTGTCAGCAACCGAGATTCATGAAGTGGCTAAGGGATTGGAGCTCAGCGGCGCCAATTTCGTATGGGTTGTTAGGTTTCCGGCGGGGAAGGAGGCGAAAATCGAGGATTCGATGCCGGAGGGGTTTCTGGAGAGAGTAAAGGGGCGAGGGGTAATATTGGAAAAGTGGGCACCTCAGATCCAGATTCTCGGGCACCAGAGCGTGGGGGGATTCGTGATGCAGTGCGGATGGAACTCCTTTCTGGAGAGCATTCACTTCGAGATCCCATTAATAGCCATACCCATGCACTCCGAGCAGTTCATCACCGCCAGGATGGCGGCGGAGCTGGGGATCGCCACGGAGGTGATGAGGGACGACGACGGCCGGCTGCACGGAGAAGACATCGCCAAAGCGGTGAAGATAGTTCTGGAGGAGAAGGAGGGGGAAGAGATGAGAGGCAAAGTGAAGGAATTGAATGCGGCTATGGCGATCAAAGGGAAACATGGGATCGATGACACGGCGGCGCTGCTGTCTGGGCTGTGCTTGACTTCCGGCGGCGGTAAAGCATGAAGCACAATATCTATCTATCCTCATTTGATTTTATTATCACCCAAGGAGTTGCATGGAAAAATAGGCTAGTCGTAAAACCTATCTTCATCTTCATTATTGCACAATAAAAGAATTCTTGCCTCACCTCTTTACTTTCGACCATGGAAGAAGGTTTGCCTACACACACTCTTTAGTCTTTTCAACCCTACTTTCATGAGATCTAATTGGGTTGTTCTTGCTATGTTTTTAAGTATATAGTCAATTTTCATACTGAATAATAAAAAAATAGATTTATTAAAATAATTAAGGAGTATACAAAAGAATATTTATAGCAAGAATAAATAGGCCGGATTCAATGCAACAAGAAGCTCACTAATATACAAATACACTCATAATTAGGAATACCATTATCAATGTCTAACATCTCCCCTCAATTTGAACACCATGAAACGAGTGAAAGCTTGGAAGCGAGAGCCTTGTACCGTGGAAAAGGTAGCGCCTTTCTACGTAAATCAACAAGCTGGGCAACAGAAGAAACATGTGAGAGTGTCATAGTTTCAGCAATTCATTCTTCCTGAACAAAGTGACAATCGGTGATAACATGCTTCATTTCCTTGTGAAACACATGATTCTTAGTCACAAATAGCAAACAGATAATCACAAAACACATGTGGAGGAGAAAGCCAGACCATCAAAACGTCAATAGATAAGTCGGCCACGTTACCTTAGATGCTGCAGAGGAGAGAACACGGTACTCTGCCTTAGTAGATGATTTGGAGACATGACTCTACTTCTCCGTACTCCGGGAAATAAGATTAGGACCAAGGTAGACTAAGTACCTAGTATTGGAAAGGCCATTTGTCATATCATTCTCTAATCAGAGTGGGTCATTAGAGCCAGAGGACCCTGTCGAAAAACAAAATCTTCTTCAAGTGTGCCGTGAATATATCACAAAATCCGCTTAAAATCAGAAATCTTGCTCAGTGAGCGCATGCATACGTTGTCAAACATGATTCGCATCAAACCAAATATTTGGTTTAATGTTTGTGAGACATTGAAGAGAACCAACAAGACTACAAAAAAAGTGGGATTTTCAAAAGGAGTGTTAGTGCCAGCATCAATCGGCCGAACAAGAATAGGAGTCGGTGACGACTTACAATCGTCGACGCTAGCCCAGTGGAGCAGCTCGCAAGCATATCAAGCATATTTTTTCCTGAGAGAGAACCAAGTAATCTGTCGTCCTTTTAACCTCAATCCCTAAAAGGAAGTGAAGGGGTTCGAGGTCTTTCATATGAAACTCATGTTGCATGGCCGTAATAAAGTTGTTAATGAGGGTAGAACTGTTACCTATGATAATGGTATCATCAACATATAAAAGTAGTATAAGGATGCCCATGCATGACAAAGAAACTATTGTCATGCTCATCTTTTCAAAAGCCATAATAAAAAACAAAGCCCGACAGTCGCTTTGCTTGGGACTATGCTCTAAGAACTTGTTTTAAACCATATCGTGATTTCTTCAACTGACCCACATAATAAGGAATTGTTGATTAATATAGCTAAGAGGCTACTCAATATAAATCCTTTGAGGGGCTTTACCATGACAAAAGGCATTAGAGACATTCAACTGATGCAACGACCAATCATTGTTAACTTCCAAAGAAAGAATAATTCTAACAGTCTGTTCTTTGAAAACAAGACTTAAAGTTTCAAAGTAGTCAAGACCATACTTGTGAGTAGGGGTGCATACAAATCAAATAAAATGTATTCGATTTGTGATTCGTATTCGAAAAAGATGATTCGTATTCGCTATATTCGAATTCGAATCCGAATACAAATCATATTTTAGATTCGAATTATTTTCGAATTCGAATACAAATATTAATAGATTCGATTCGTTTATTATTCAAATTATTCGAATATTATAATTTATATATATATATATATATATATATATATATATATATATATATATATATATATATATATATATATTCTAATATATTAAATATTTGTGTACATATAAATTTATATATATTCGAATATTATAATTTATAAATAAATTTATATATATTCTAACATATTTTTACTACATTTTAATTTTTACTACATTTTACATTATTATAAAATAATAATTTAATGTCTTTAAAAAATTTGTTTTAAGAAAAAAATTACTAATATTTTCGAATTCGAATATTCGAATACGAATTCAAATATGTCAAATATCTATTGAATCGAATACGAATGTTTTTTAAAATTCGAATTATATACGAATCCGAATTCGAATATATATCACTTTAATCGAATACGAATCGAATAATGATATATTTGCTTCGATTCGATTTGTATACACCCCTACTTGTGAGTGTATTCCTTGGCCAGTAGACATGCATTGTACTTGAAAATAGATTTGTTTGCCATAAAACATCTCATGTGTTCTTATTTATCAAGGCAGAAAACTCCTCATCCACAAAGCATGACACAAAAAGGAAATTGTGCTAGCGGGTCATCATGGGGTGCCTCGGTGGGGGGGGGGGTGGTGGGGTAGGTTTAACACCCCAACTCGCGTAACCCGAACCAAGGAGTTAACGAATCGGATTGCTACTAAATTGATATTCATGACACAACAATTTATACAAAATATTCAAAAACATCCCGACACCCAATTAATTACGAAAAGTTCGGAGTAAAGTTCATCATGTGCGGAACTCTTAAAATAACGTTCTAGAATAAATGTTTAAACAAAACAATTAATAAATGCATTAATTAAATATTCAAAACGGTGCAGTCAAAGACAACAAGACTACACGCTCAGCTGAAAGCCGAGTGAGAAAAATATCTAACGCTAGAATTAATTTCACAGATAGTATCGCATTTATATAATCAACAACATCAGTGAACAATAAACATTTGTTTTTAGATTCAAGGATCCAATAGTTCCAATTCATTTATTCTCAATGGGCTATTTCCGACCCGCCTCTTGAGAGAAGCGCACTCCAAACATGTGGAGTGCAACCAACATTTTTGGAGTGTATTTATCAAATCCCGTTGTGTTATACCACCTCCGTTTATAAATTTCTTTTTCCAATTTTGAGTTAGAATAAATTCCATAAAAGGTCCCTTGTTATAGGTCGTTTTACAAATTTAGTCACTACATATCAAATATTACTAATTTAGTTTACAATTATTATATCATTTTTCACGAATGGTCCTTTGTTAAAGTTTTTGTTAAGAACATGGATAATATTGTATATTCATACTTCTCTCCCTCCTCAATTAAGCTTCCTCCCTCGTCTCGTACTCTTTCTCAAACTTGTCGCTGAGTTTGAAGCTCTAAACCCAAAACTGAAATGATCATTCCTTTCTCAATTATTAGTCTTTCTAGTGGAACCTAAAATCAAAATCAATAAGCTTTATGGATGAGTTTTATCGGTTAGTCTCAAGAAATTGCAAGGAAAATAAACATTAAAACTCATCCATGAAGGTTACTTGTTTTGAATTTGGGTTCCACCAGTTAGACAAATAATTGAGAGAAGAGTGATGATTTCGGTTCTGGGTTCAAAGCTTCAAAATCAGCGACGCGTTTGGGAAAGGAGTGTGAGGGGAGGGAGGACGTTTAATTGAGGAGATAAAGCTAAGGAGTGTGAATTTATAATTTTATCCACGTTCTTAACGAAAATGTTAACAAATGACCATTCCGTCCATTCGTAGAAATGAATATAATAATTGTGAACTAAATTAATAATATTTGATATGTAGGGACTAAATATGTAAAACGAGTTATAACTGAGCACCTTTTATGGAATTACTCTTTGCGTTATTTTCATACAATCATTCTTAATCTTTTAATTTATAATTAAATTATATATATATATATATATATATATATATATATATATATATATATATATATATATATATATATATATATATATATATATATACTTGAAATGTAACACCCTAATCCGTCCAGGTCTGCAGCCTCTTTCATACTAAAGTATTAACTTGGAAATCATAAATTTAAAACGTTTCAAATACTTTTATTCATCATAAGTATTATTTAGTACATAATTGTAGCAAAAAGCAGAGTGTTTAACAATAATGCGAAGCAATTTAAACCATGTTTAAAAACAACATAATTATTTATTTTAAAATCACAAATTCCACCACGACAATCTCGCCCCTTGTGCTGCCAGGAACAAGCCAATCATTCATTCAGTCTACCTGCGTGTAGCAAATAAAACATACTACACGCTCAGCGATGAAGCTGAGTAAGCATATCTAAAGCGTCGAACATCCACATAAATTGAATCTCAATTCACAAACAACCATTTGATATCATGCACACAATATACAATTCATTCATGATATTTTCAATTTTTCAATATTCAACATTCAATACTCAACAATATCCTTAACTAAGCTTAGTCTAAAGCCAAACCTTTGATGATTACCAACTCTTAAACTAATTCTAGTTTAAGGTACTTCTAACCAACTCTTAAGCTAGGTCATTAGTTTAAGGTACATATTCCAATTTATTTACCAACTCTTAAACTAGCCTTCGCATAAGGTACAAATCCAGAAAAGTGAACAGTAGATTACTAACTGTCAGGTTGGGTGGTATCCCCAAACGAGTTCCTCTAGTTTGGTTTATGGATCCCGTACGTACGTTTTACCCAAGGCCACCGAATATACGTTTTTATACTCGCAAGGCCCATTCTAATCAGAAGTCTATCTTAGAGGTCTTCTAAGCAGCCTTAATAGTATGATTTATTAATTCATTATTATCAACTTAACAATTCATGATCATCATTCAGAGTATTCAACATAATTAATTATCATAATCAATA